CAGGTATTCTTTATACAGGCCTGTTTCTACATCATCTGTGTTAGTGTAACCAGAACCAAAAGATAAATACGTTTGTAACATTCATACTTTTCTTTGGAACCCTGGCACTTGCATTCACAAAGAATGTCTGTGGCTTTACTTGGTACAGCATTTCAGAGCAAGCTTCACTCAGGATAGAAGTACTGAGAATCTCACAATGAAAGGCTCATCTTACCATGTTAGAACCTTGAGAGATACAAACAAGTGTCTGAATTCTTTTCCACAGCGACACAATGAACTTCTCCAATTCTGCCCACCCCCCAGTTTGAAGTGTCTGAAGAAATACCAAAGAACAAATGGCTATGAAGACTGAGCTCCCTTTTCATTCCTTCCCAGATGTGATTTTTTTCCAGCTAAAAGGATAGGCACACTGGCAAGGTAGTAGCTGGTAATTGTGTTGTCTATACTGTTTTAATGGAGAGGAGACTTTGGTCTCCTGAGATGCAATTCTAGAATTTTTCACAAAGTTCATAGTTACTTGAACACACCACAAACCTGAATCGTAGTATGTTTGTTTGAACCTATCTGTGCTGGCTAGCGATGCTTGTAACAGAGTCCCCATTTCTGGGGCAGTCCTCTTGAACTGACTCATTATTTGAAATCACAGCTGTCATTAGCAACTGCCAATGACGTTTCCAGCCATTCTCTCTTATTGTTTGTAATGATGAATCCAGTTATAAACAAGGGAGGGGTGTAGGCGGGAATGGATGTAGAAAATCCACTGATGTACCCAGGGATTAAAATACTAAAAGGCTAAAATTGCTTTTATGCAAAGATCACAGCTGCCTTTCTGCTCTCAGCCTACTTTCAAGAACAACAGTTGTTAAGGGAGGATCACTGTATAATTGCTTTCTTTCACCCCAAAACATAACTGCTCCCTTGATGGCTCCTTTCTGTTTCCCCCATCTCTGTGTGTATTAGTACACTCTTCCTAACTTTTTATAGGAACTAAAAACCTGAGAATATGGGAAAGCATTTTGGAAAAACACAGTTCCGAGCGTCACAGTAATAATCTGCTCATTCTCATCATCTATGAAAGAAAAGAAAAGAAAAGAAAAGAAAAGAAAAGAAAAGAAAAGAAAAGAAAAGAAAAGAAAAGAAAAGAAAAGAAAAGGGATGAAGGGACCTGAAGGTCAAAGATGAGTTTTCCAACTTGGCAGATTTAGAGCCTGATTCTGCAAAAACACTGACAAGTCTTAACATTAAGGATGAGTTAAAATCAAGCATGTGCTTAATTCTTTATAGGATCAGGACTTTGTCCTCAAAACCAAGAGGATATTTCCCTAGCTGCATTTGTTTTTAAATACCCTATTATGTTAAAAACTTCTAAACAATAATCCAGTATTTCCAAACAAACAACAGTACAGTATTAACTCTGCCATATAGCTTTATATTAACTTAGTATTATTACATAAGGATAGTTAACTTAGGTTTTTTGTTACCAGAAAATATGCATGTTCTTGTCATATTTTTCTAAATAACAGTTTGAGAGAACACTAACTCCTGGGTTCATGGCTATTTGAGGATAGCTCCTTTTGTCTCCTGGTTAACGTTACTCTTGCGTGGTACTTCTGTTTATTTGCCACATTCAGCTTTTCATAATCTCCTCTGTTTAAATGAGAGCCTCCCAATGTAAGTAAAAATCCATCATTTTTAGACCAGCTACATAAAAACAAAGATCTATTACTTGTTGTGGTACAGAGGCCAACTATCCTCATTTATCACAGCTTGTGACAGGAGTGTGTGCTTTCTCCATTGGAGGAATGGTACTGTTGCTATAGGAAGCACAAGGATATGAGTTATAGGGCCCTCTGAGGAGTTACTACTGTAAGAAGTTATCCAACAGCTGTTCAACAGAGAACACAGATTGACCACTCACAAGAGTTAACAGAGAAGCCAGGCAACCTTTCAGTGTGTCTCCCAAATAGCATGAAGTTCAAGGGAAGTGAATCAATATATTAAGCAAAGAAGTTAATCTGTTCCCAGAGCATTTTAATAGCTAAAGAGACTGCCTGGTGCCCACAGACACATTCAAACACAAAAACTCTTTTATGGCTCTTATTTCTTGCTGCAGTTTGGTCTGTAAGAATGAATGAACAAACACATAGCAGTTAAAGTATATGGATTATTTTGCCTCTTGTTCCAGTTCAATCCAGGATGATCATGACTTGCCAGTTTGCAACCAATAGTTTATTCAGCAAACTGAGCTCTTCTTTCCTCCTCAGAAATCATCTGCAAACAACTTGGAATTTTTAGAGAGTTTTGCTTGCAACCCTTCCCTTGTTTACTTCAGTGCTAGGGCCAAAGGTATCTCACAGACGCTTCCTACACTCCCTATTGTGGAAGTGAAGCAAGTTTCAACAAGGAAGTTGCAGATGTGGCTGCTGAGAGGCATCAAGCCCAGCACAGAGGCAGCTGGCTCCAGTTTTGCAACACGGTAGGGGTGATGAGTTGAAAGGTGTAGGTAAAAGATGGAAAGTCATAAGGAGAGCAGATGAATGGAGGGGATGAAGTAGGGAGGGGAGGTAGAGGTGGGAATAGCTATCCCAAATGCACATGAGACATGTTTGTGTAAATGACAAATATCATCATTAATATCATTATATCACCTTTCATAAGAGATACTTTATTGGCACAAAGTACTTTACAAAGAGCCGTATTATGAGACCCAAATTATAGGTGGGAAAATTGAGGCACAGACATTTAATTAGTGCTCCAGGCACCTTGTGAGTCAGTGACAGAGCGGGGCCCAGGTATCCTGACTGCAGTCCCCCACTCTAGTCATTAGATCAGGGCTGTCTACTCAGGGTACAGTCTGGCCTTCCTCTCACCTTTTAATCACAATGACAAAACCTTCCAAGTACAGCACCCCGCCCAGGAGGAACCCCTCCTCCACCAGCTGCCAGAACTCTTGTGCTGCCCACCCTGCTTCCTTCTCTCCGGCACGGTCAAAACAGTTGGCAGCTACTGAGATAAAAAAATCTGGCACTCCCTGTGCAGTAACCTATATGTAACAAGTTAGGGACCTCAGTCCAACTCTTAGTGAATAGGTGTCTCTCCATCATTAAAACCACCTCCCCATTTGCCTACCCTTTGAGGGCAGTCTCAGAACAGAGAGCAAGGATTGAATCAGAATGCAGAGACTTGGCGACCTTTTCACCAGAAGGGGGTTCTATGGGTCAGAGATGGAGATGAAGGGAACGGGTTGAGGTAAATTTTTTAACAACTCCTCTCTGTGCTATACTTGTTCTATAGAGAAAGGACTTCATTTTCCAGGGTTATCGATCCTATACCTTTCCACAGCAGGGAAGGGCTGATCCTGGCTCCTTCAGGAGCATCATTACAGTCATCAACCAGATCGAGGTCCCTTCTGAATCACCTTGCCATGCCATCACCTCTTCCCTGCATGTGTTGACTTCAGACTGATATTAGAACTCGGATTTTGATTTTCACTCCGAACTCTCTTTAAAGCATCAGCCTCGGTGCTCACTGGAGGACAAATATTGGTCGCACCTACTGCCATCAATACTGCATCCAAAGTGACCATTCTGGTTCTATTGGATGGTCTCCTATTATCCCTAACAGCCTCATGCGAACTAATAGCTCCTAAGCCATTAGCCGACATGCACACTCTTAGGAAGATGGCCATTCAAATGTGGCCTGACTTCACAGGATGAGTGGAATGGGCACATGAAACATCATGGATAAAGGGGTGCCTTTTGCACAACATCAGTGTGGGAAACACCTGCACTCCAATCATTCCGATTATTGCAGGCCCATCAACTCTCAGAGGGCTTTGATCTCTCTGTCCCATGCACTTCAGGCACATTACGTTTCTCGTTAAGAAAATAAAATGCTGCTGGGCAATAAACAACAAGGCTGTTTTCTAGGCTGTAGTCTAGTAAAGCAGGCAAAGATCATGTGGAAAGCCAAACAAAACAAGAAAATATTACA